CCTCATTCCCGCCATACTTCAGGTCAAGCGCACACGCCAGGAACCCGCCAGGAACTCAAAACGGCAGCTGCTGCTCATTTAAGAGAGACAATTAGGAAGCTGTTTTTAGTTCCGTTTTAGAATCTTTTTTCTCAGGTTTTAGGTACAAACTCTTGCCCCACGTTGGGCGCCAGGTTTCATTCCAACTGGTGCTATAAACTCTACCTAAAAAGTGATTTCAGAGAGAAATAGTCTGTATTGTGACAAATTATCACAGAGTATGGGACTTAATAGCATTTCTCTCTCACATACTGGAGGTTAGAAATCTAAAAGACTGGCATCCACAGGCTCTCATATCCCCTCTGAGATTCAGTTAGCATTCTCCCTTACCTCTCTGTAGCTACTAGTAATGGCTGTCAGTCCAAGGCATCCTTTGTGTTTTAGGGGCTTCTTTCTAGCTTTGCCTTTATGGTCACAGGTCTGCCTTACTTGGTAGCTGTGCTTATATTGTATTTCCTCTTCTGGGTACGTGAATGTATGCATGTATAGGATATGCAAATGTGTGTGAAAATATACTTAGTAGTACAAGAGCCAGAATGTCTTCGTTAGCCACTTTCCCACCATTCATTCATTCATTCATTCATTATTTATTCTAAGACAGAATCTCTCACTGAACTTGGAGCTCTTGCCACTTTGGCTAGACTGATCAGTAAGCCCAAGGATGTGTTTGTCTCTGTCCTGTTCAACCCCTAGTGCCAAGGATAAAGATGTGCATAATTACACCGGGATATTTGTTTGCTTGTTTGTTTTGTTTTTACATGGATCTGTGAACTCAGATCCTTGCCCTTGATACTCAGTGACTCATCTCCACAGCCCAGGTGTCCTCCTCCTGAATGAACATAGAACACAATGCCCCAGGACTACCCATCAACTTAACCTGACCCTATTTCTCTCTCTTTTTATAAAACATTTTAGTTTATTTTATTAATTTTTTTTCTACATACTGACCACAGTTTCCCCTCTCTTCTCTTCCCTCCACCCCCACCCCCTAGGCTCCCATCTACTCCCCTCTCCATCCACTCCTCCTCCACCTGCATTCAGAAAGACCTCCCATGGCCTTGAACAACATGCTGGGTGAGGTCATCCAGCATGGGTAACCAAAAGCTTTACAAACAGACCAAGCTACACAATAGTCACAGGCATGCAGAGGGCCTAGGTGGATCCCATGCAGGTTCCCTAACTGTTGATACAGATTCCATGAGCTCCCAGGAGATCAGGTCAGCTGTCTCTGTGGGTTCCTCTGAACTTGACTCTAATTCTAACAAATTCCTGAGATTATCAGCTCATGAAGAGAAAGTCTTGCAATAGTTAATAATTTCCGAGTTCCCAATCCATAGTTTTGTGTTCCTGTGGTGAGGCATGGCAACATGGATGGAGTGTGTGATAGATCAAGACCACTCTTGAACTGGATCAGAATATCCCTCTCTAGGCTTTGACTACTATTCAAAGTTTCCACAACCTCCCAGTAGTGCGTGGATTAGTTCTATAACTTGCCTGCAAATCTTTTACATTAAAATTTTGTTATTTTTGATGTGCTTACTGGGATGTAGGCTTTACCTGTCCTTGGTGCATGAGCTGGCTTTTTGGAACCTAAGGCCTATGCTGGGACACTTTGCTCAGCCTTGGTGTAGGGAGGAGGGGACTGGACTTGCCTCAGCTGGGTCTACCAGGCTGGGCTGACTCCCTAGGGGAGACCTTGCCTTGGAGGAGGTGGGAATGGGGAACAGATTGGGGCGGGGGTAGGGGAGGGGAGGAAGGGAAGATGGGGGAATCTGTGGCTGATATGTAAAATTAAGCTAAGTATAAAATAAAAATACTTTTAAAAAAAGATAGTCTTAAATATTAATAAAGACCCCCTCAGGATTATTTTCTTCAGTCTTCAGGATCCCACGCCTGTGAACACACCATCAGGCATGGTTATTTGTTATTTTTATATATATGATGTGCTGTTGTGCACTTGAATTTTCTGTCAGTCTCCGCCCCCAGCTTCTCTGAAGTTATTTGTACTTTATTCAGGGTATACTATATACTATGTCACTTACTTAAAGAAGATACAGTGAAAATACAGTCTGTAAGTTGATCACTAATAGTGCAAGATTTACAATTGATTAGTGTGTTAAACGTTAAAGACTGCATACAGATGTATTTGTGTGCTGTGAAAAATGACCTTAAAATCTGAGGGTGGAAGATAAAATACATAACAGCACACACACAAAACAAAACATATATATGAGTATATTCATGGGCTTACATATGAACAAAAAACAAGAACCCACCAATCAAATATGGGTGACTAATATATGCACCAGAAGACCATTACACTTTTGAACACTTGAATGACTCCGTTAATGTCAGCATTTTGTTACATATCTTATTTGTAGTATATTAAGAAAAAAACATTTCAAATAAAGTTGTTTAACACATTCTAAAGATGGTATTATTGAGGTTGGTCTTCATGTGCATACTCTTATCACTTAGAAAATATACTAGAACAGCTTATTGTATAGTATATAGTAAATATTTTTTTTTAAATGTTGTTCCTTTGAGCTTTCAGTTTTTCTAATATTGAGATAATTACTATCAGAAATTTGGATAAACTATAAATACTAAAAGAACCATATTTAGATTAAATTAAGTCTCTACTTACATGCTTTTGTATGAGCACAGGAAATGTGATTATTTCAAGGATTTTTTTAAAAAATAAATGAAAGAATTCCACGGAGGCCACTCTTTGTTCTCCTTGCTTGACATGTGTTATTAAACAATAGGAAAGTTAAGCTAATTTCTCTCTGAAGGGGTGGTGCTCTATGACCCCCAATCATATTTTAAATAACTTGATGGGTTGGGATAAAGTAGTAATTCATTTTGTGTGTGATGATATCATTGTTCATGTTATCTGTAGGTAATATAACTTAAGGTGCATCTTTGTCTTTTCAGTGTGTGCAGGAACAGAGAATAAACTGAGCTCTCTCTCTGACCTGGAACAGCAGTACCGAGCCTTGCGCAAATACTATGAAAACTGCGAGGTAGTCATGGGCAACCTGGAGATCACCAGCATCGAGCACAACCGGGACCTCTCCTTCCTGCGGGTACAGCTGTTTCTTTTTCTACTCTTCTTTGTGAGTGGGCATGATGTCACGATGTGCACGGAGTGCCCTGCTTGATTAGACGTGGTCGCTCTGCCCTTCCGCCAGGCAGAGTCTGTGACTGTAGGCAGCAGATAAGCTACAGAGAGGCACCTGTGGGGAAAGACTAGGAATAGCAATGCCAGAGTGACTGACGACCCGGCTTAGAGGAGTTGCTGTCACTATTAGATGGATACAAAGATTCTGTCAGGGTATAGCACAGGACATATTGCAAGTTCCTCTTTCTCTGACAGGATGAGGACTAAGAGAGTCAGAGGACCAATCAGATAAGAATGGGTGGTTTTAGCTTCATCCCTTTTCTGCCTCCTTTCTGTCACTTGGAGGAGGGGACAAAGGGGAGAGCAATACTGTCACTTCTCCTAATTCAGGTGAATGACTTCTTTTTTTTTTTTTTTTGAAACTGGAAACAATTTAAAGTAGACTCAGAAGAAATCACAAGTGAATGCATACATCCATGTGTTGCTTAATAAAATTCCATGTGTTACTTATTAAAATTCCATAGCAAACAGGACTTGAATTCTAGAAAGAGATAGCCCTAGAAGAACTCAATATTTAGGTTCTTAGCTCTTGTTTCTAAAATGCAGTGCACAGAAACTACTGTAGGCCACACGTGAGAAACAAAATGATGCTGAGCGGAGGAAAATGAATGGAGAAGGCTGAACACTGAGGCATTGGAAATAATCAGTCCCTTAGATCCAAACAGCGAGACAGAGATAAGGAATGTGCTTTGATGACAACTGTGTTTTCCATCTTCTGTGTCCTTCACTAGAATTGCCACATCACTAGAGTCCACTGAAAATCCCAAGTGTGTGTTTGTGTATGTGTGTGTGTGTATAGATCTAGATCTATATTTCTATGTGTAGCTATACATGCCTATATCATCTATACTCCTTAAATGATACCATGTGAAAATATTTATAACTGTGTAACCCTTAGGATCTTACAGTACAATGATTGACAAATGATAGGGTTCTTTCAGATTTTAACTTATAGAATATGAAGGTTTTGTATAGATGTTTGAGCAACATCCTTTAAACAATGAGTTTAAAATTCTTAGGCAACATGTTGAAGTCAATATAATAAACAAGGCCAAGATTTCTATGCAGAACTAGAAGTATTTTATTCCAATAAGTATTTCCTGGCTCCTAAACAGCCTCTGTAAATTTTTATAAATTTTGTGCTAACCCATACACACACCTGCAATTTCATGTTTTATTCAAAGTAATTTTAATTATTTTCTTTTTACATACCAACCCATTTTGTTCATATATCTTTTGTTTTTTTAATATAATCATTCTTAAATGTGACATGTATCTATTAAAAATAATCTCAGCTCATCTACAATAGCAAGTAATTTCTTTTTGTCTTCAACTGTTGTTGACACTGAGCCCACACATCTAAATAAATCACCCATGACTCCTGCTTACAGTGAACAGAGCAGTGGAGATGAAGAAAAAGAAGGAGAGTAATATAAAATATTGCATTGGAACAGTAGTGGGTCTAATGTCAAAAATATTTAGGTTATGTCAGCATCCAAGTGACATTGGATCAGATGAAATTGTCAAGTGACATTGGATTAGATGAAATTGTCAAGGGGCATTGAAAAGAGAAAAATCAAACAGTAGGCTAAGAGTAGAACATTCCAGAAACTCATTTTGTGTTCCTTGACGAGCTAAGAGTAGTGACTACTTGAGAAAGAGAGGGAGGGAGGGAGGGAGAGAGAGAGAGAGAGAGAGAGAGAGAGAGAGAGAGAGAGAGAGAGAGAGAGAACACCCGGATTCTGACAATGGCAGCCCTATTTCCTACTACTGGGTGACATGTTATTTTCAAATTGCACTCTAGAATATTCTAAAAGCCTTCTTGTAGCTGAAGAGTTTTCTCTCTAGGTCCCACCAAGCCACGGAAGTCCGACAGCCCACTTATAAAATAAACACACAGATGCTTATATTATTTAAACTGTTTAGCCTAATGGCTCAGGCTTCTAGCTATCTAGTTCTTAAATTAATCCATTTATATAAATCTATACCTTGCCATGTGGCTCGTGGCTTACTGGCATCTCTACATGCTGCTTGCCATGGCATCGGCTGGCAGTGTCTCCCTCCGCCTTCCTGTTCTCTCAATTCTCCTCTCTGTTAGTCCCGCCTATACTTCCTGCCTGGCTACTGGGCCAATCAGTGTTTTATTTATTGACCAATCAGACCATCCTGCAGCACCTTCTCATTTGGAATTTAATTTATTCTGTAAATCACATTCGGGCTGATCTGTCCTTACAGTAGCTTTCTTTCTCAGTGAGTAATTGGCCAGTAATGACACATTAGAAACGGAACCCAAGTAATGTAGTTCTGGCTGCTTCACACCATACCACCCTTTCCCATAAGTTCTGAACTGTGAGGCAAGCCATAAACTCATGCCAGCCACTGTCTTGGTTCATAGAGCCCTGAGATGTGCCCATGTGATCATGTTATACAGAGAGACTTCTCATAGATGTTCACAATTTCCCTTCTGGATAAAAAGCTGAAATCTGTCAAGCATGTGGAGAGGCATAATGGCTACCAATTTCTTTCTGGATTCATTCTTGTCTTTAGGAGTCACAGAAATTATTCTATCTTTCAAGAAATATCCCATCCTTATTTTCATATAAAGCAGCATGGTGGTTCTGATATTTGTTTTGGTTTTTCTGAAAGCACTCTCCTTTCTATGACTTGTGAGAGCAGGTTATCCATAAGCCTGGCCAAACTTATTTTGTAACTGAGTAGTCAGTATTTAGAAAAGTACCTGAAGTGTATATATATGATTTGTTCACTGCAGAAGTCAACGGGTATGCTTCTGTGTGGTAAATTTTTGTGCATATGTTTGTGTGTATTGTGCATGTGCCTGTGTGTGCAGATGGACACATACACATATGTCCATGTAGAGGCAGGAGGCTGACATCAGATGTTTTCCTTAATCACTTCTCCTCAATATTTCCTTGAGACTGTGTCTGTCACTGAACCTGGAACTCACCAACATGACCCTATGAAAGGCCATTGATCGTTCTGTCCCAGCCTCCTCACTGCGAGGATTACAGTTATGTTACGCTCTGCTCAGCAGTTTATGTGGGTGCTCAGGATCAAACCTGGGTTCTCATGTTTGTTTTACTGACTGAGCCCCTCCTCATCCCCAGTGAGTCCTTTTTAAAACTATTGATCTGGTGTAGAGCTTTCTTTTATGGTAATATGTTCTCTAAACCACATGAAGATCTCTCTTCATAGCCTTATTATTTCAGTGCCAACATACTCACAATGTCATTTGTGGGAGGAAAAAAAAATAGGGTGTGTCCATTAGAAATCCCACCAGGAGTAGTTGGTATTATACCCAAGAACATTCAGGTTTTGCCTCAGTTAGTTCCTTGTCCTCTTTGGTACCAGAACATAGCCACCCTTGTTGTGTGGTTTGAATGTCAGAGAGAAATGTATAACCAGCAGATTTGAGCCAGCACTCTGAAACAGATACAAAGGACAGAGAAAGAGAACATTTACCCAAACTATTAATGTGAGACTCATGCTAGTTGGCTTCTGATGACCAGCTGGGCCCAGACATTTCATTCATTTGTGTCCATGAGATACTTCTGGAACTTGATTGTAATTTTTATAATGTATACCTTTATCTATTAAACTGGATAAAAGTTATTTCTTTTAGTATAACTGAAGTACTCCATCTAGTACCCTACCCTTGAAGATTTAATAAATAAATAAATAAATAAATAGACCTTTGAAATTAGCCCTAGCAATAATGGAGAGGGTGCCTGAGCTGGCCTTCCCCTGTAATCAGATTGGTGAATACCCTAACTATCATCATAGTTCCTTCATCTAGTAACTGATGGACACAGATACAGAGACCCACATCTAAGCACCAGACTGAGCTACAGGAGTCCAGTAGAATTGAGGGAAGAGGGATTATAGGGGCAAGTGTGTGTGTGTGTGTGTGTGTGTGTGTGTGTGTGTGTGTGTGTGTGTGTGTGTGTGAATATCATAACTGGGAAACCCACAGAAACAGATGATTTGAATTTGTGGGAGCAAACGGACACTAGACCAACAACTGGGAAGCCTGCATGAGAATCAACTAGGACCTCTGCATGTAGGCGACAATCTGTTTGTGGGATCCCTGGCTATGGGACCAGGATCTATCCCTGGTGTATAAGCTGGCTTTTTGAAGCCCATTCCATATGGTAGGATGCCTTGCTCAGCTTTAATGGTGGGGTGGTATTGGTTCTGCCTCAATTGAATGTGCCTGTTGATTCCCCATGGGAGGCCTTACCCTTTCTGGGATGTGTGTGGAGGTGGGTTATGGGAGGTGGAGGAAAGAAGTAGGAACTGTGGTTGATAAGTAAAATGAATAAAAAAAACAAACAAACAAAGAAAATAGGTGTGGATATAACTCAGTGGTAGGGAGCTTGCCTAGCAAGCACAAGGTCCTGTATTTGATCCTCTGCATTGAGAAAAGGGTACAAGCTAGGTGTGGGGGTGTAACATCAATTGCTAAATGGTCTTATCAATAAAAAACCTGGACCAGATATTGGGGTGAATGCTGAAAGATGAGAGAAACAGAACAAACCACAGCCAACCTCACCTTGCCAACTCCTCAGCTGATCCTGTTTCCACGAATCCACAGACTGAAAGCTCCTGAGTCCTTGTCCCTGAGGATCTCTGTTGAACGGCTTAAAAACCTCTAGTTCCTGGTCCTCATGCCTAATATACCTTTCTGCTTCATGCCGTGGCTTCCTGGGATTAAAGGTGTGTGTCCTTCCCAAGCAAAGACATGAGATCTCAAATGCTGGGATTCAAGGCATGTGCCACTACACTGGCTCTGTTCCCAGTGTGGCCTTGAACTCTGCTCCAGAGTGATAGGATTAAGGGTGTGTACCACCACTGTCTGGCCTCTATGTCTAATCTAGTGCCTGGCTC